GGTTTATTGCTAATGGGCAAAATGTTAAACAAAAAAATGATCATGTGTGTCTCCTTAAAAGGTCTATTGTATGACTTAAAGCAATCATCTAGACATTGGTATAAAGATTCGATTATTTTATACTATCTATAGGGTTTCAAAAACGTAAGTTTGATCACTGCTTGTACTTCCAACATGATGATGCTAATATTGATTATGTATTTCTATTGCTCTATATTGACGATATGCTCTTGGTTGGATCATCTTCTAAATGGATAAGTAAGATAAAAGCAAATTTGAATAGCGAATTTGACATGAAAGATCTAGAAGCAAAGATATTCATAGGTATGGAAATTGAAAGAGATATGTCAAATTTTATGTTGTTTTTGCATCAAACTCCTCATGCTTTAAAAAATGTTAAAATAATTTAGTATGCATGATTGCAAACCTGTTTCATTACCTTTAGCTAATCATGGCATGTTCATTAGTTGGATCAGCCTACTTCACTTATCTTGGCCCATCTTATGTTAGCCTTAATCTTACATATACCCATTTGCTTGTTTGAGATAAACTGTGTGTTTGCAATTGAGATTGAAGGCATACACTTTTATACTCCTTTTCTTGGTAAAACGATGACCCTAAACTGCTCACTTTCTTCTTCTTCTTGTTCTTTATATGTGATATTGCAGCCACCATTCTCCCTTTGTGGATTATACAATTGGACAACCATAGTGAATATTTGGTGGTTGAGCAATCGATTATTGAGGTGTTTGATATTGATTTGAGAAATCGAGCCCGTTCTTGCACACAATAAAAAATCTTGGTATATATTTCCTTCAAAATTTACATGTTTATATTATTTATAGTTGTTGAATCAATAAATACGCACAACGAAGCTTATTATCTTCTTGTAGGGTATAAATAATGCGAAGGGAGAACCAAGTGTAAAAGACTCGCACAAAGTAGGCAAGTGACTCTTCCATCCAGGTTGACTAGAAGCTGTTAATAAGGCATGTAAGCCAATGATTAAACATAACACTCACTACACCAAAATACACCATTTACAACACATAAAAGGCAACATACGGTAGTTAAGTGTTGCTAAAGGGGTCAATCGCAACATTTTAATAAGTGAATGTTGGTCTAATTTTAAGCATCAAATGTTGGTCAAAGCATCATTATGGTGACCAACACAAGGATAGTGTCCTTCGATTTTTTGTATGTCTATACTTAGGTGTTCTATTTCTTCTCTTGGTGTGTTTTAGGCTTTGTAAAACTTTCTTTAGGAAGTAAAAAAATTATATTTATTTTACTTTAGGTTCATAGTTAGTGAGATTGATTATTGTAGCTGTGTGGCCTTTGTATAGTAAGGTTTTTTAAACGAAACATTGTTCTTCCTATTGATTTTTGCTTACTTTAGGTAGCCCTTCATTACCATTACAGCTTACTTTACGTTCATAGTTACGCATTTGACTCTGTAGCCATTCATTACCATTACAGCTTGGACGAAAATAAAAAAAGAAGTCTTAAATCTAGTTCTAGTATGAGTAATTCCTTCGATGTGTCTTTTCACGTGCTATGGCGTACCTGAAACTGTAGGCCTCATTTTGTTTCCTTTTTTCACATGGTTCAGGTATTGACTTCTGTTTATTGACTTTGTTTATATATGGAAAATTTCACCATGGGTCCCTAATTTATTGCTTTAGCAGGAAGTAGGTAATCTCACTTTTATTATTGTTAATTAGGGATACGTACTATGCATATATAGTTTTTTTTATAATGTGTGGTCCTGTGAAGACTTCAATCAAGTCTTAAGAGTCCTATTGACATATTCAAATATTAGTTGTTCTGTTGA